GTAGGGAAAAGTGTACACTTTGAAAATTTGTTTTCAGATATTGGTGATAATTTTAGCCCAAATTTAATATCAGTTGGATTTTGGCAGCATCCTTTTTCTTTCTCCAGCATTTGGGAACCCCAAATACAAAATTTTGCATTCAATGTTTCCAGTATATGTTTCTGCCACTGGGTGGTGCTCATAGTACATGTTAGATCTACTGTTTGTGTGCCCTACTAACACCCGGAGTCTACCTGGTATCCATATGAAATTTATGTGCATTTATTTGTTTGTTTCATTTTTTTTCTAAAGTGACTGATAAGGATGGGGAACTGTTAATTTGCATCACATTATAGCTGTTTTTAATGTTAGCTATGATGCTTGAGAAGCAGTTCATTTTGTGATTTTGAAGAGGCAGTGGCTCTCACATTCCACAAGCCATACAGATACAGCTAGAGTGATAGTTTTATTTGATCATTAACCTAGGGACAGGATGCTAACAATTAACAGATTTGAAAAGCTCAAGTGTACTGGAGGGTCATCGATGCATCAATGTAGCCTGGAGAGCATTTCTGTGTTTCATGTTTAAATTTCAGAATTTTAAATAATTAAATGTTAGGGGTAGAATCTTTGAAAACATTTTTGTGAATGATATAGTCTATGCAGCTGTGATCACATAATGCCTGGGGTACCTATCATATGCCTCCATAAGAGTGAGCCTTTCAAGAGTCAATTACAGATAGGGCCAGGCCCAGGATCCTACCTCTCCATGAAGAATCACTAATTGCTATTGAATTATGGGGAGATACACTCATCATCGTCATCATAATGTACCTCCTGAGGAGCCCTCCACCCTCCAGTGGATAATTCCAAACTCATAGCCATGCAAACAACCCTGGTTAGACTCAGTGGACCTCAAACAAACAGGAATGGATATGGGGAAAGGACTTATAGGGAGGATGGGTTGTAGTAGAGGTAGAAGTAGTATGAAAGCAATTGGTATGTTACAACAATCAGAGTGTACTATATACAAGTATGAAATGTTAAGGAATAAACTTAGTTTAAGTTATTTTAAAAACACAGATCAATGAGGGGTTTGTTAAATAGCTCACTGAGTGATTGATTTCACAGCATGTATGAGGTTCTTGATTTTTTTCAGGCATCATTAGCAGTAAAGGAAAAAGAAGCAATAAAAAGAGTGAAGATTTGATATTGTCTTCCTTTTAAAATTAAAAATCTTAATATTGACAATTTTGAAGCAATGCTACTGTGCAATATATGGAAAGAATCAGAAACTAGATGATTACAAAATACAATATCATTTTCTACCTGGAAGATATGCCTAAGGTATCTCAGCATTTTCTAGTCTGACAAGTTTGAATTTAATATCTGAAACTCATGTTATTGTATCTCTTCCTTACTTAACTAATGTATATTCATTTTTATTGAATCTTTTGCATAAGTCAATTACTAAACCTGATATTAAAGATATAAAATCAAGATGTAAAAATATTACTATTTCATTTTTAAATTTGAATTAGCTTTAGAAACCATAACTTGAGTCAAAGAGGTCCTGATTATTCACAAATATATTGAAATCTCATTGTGCCACTGAACAATAATAAAATTCTTTAGCAGTAGAAACTTAATATTCCATTAATATTAATCAATGCTTAAATTTTATCTATGAAAAGTCTGATTGCCATTTTTCTTTTATATTTTAGTTAGCATACAACATTATTCATTTAATTATGGCATTTTATACATGTTTACAGTTTTAATTCCAAAGTAGTTGCAATTTTTTTGAAAAAGAATAAACCATTCTTTAAACAGTATTACAATTGTCTTACTTTTAAATTTCGATGAGTTTTGTTTTGAAATTTCAAAACAGAACCTCAGGAAAAATTAGGGCACAGAATTTATGTTTATGGAGCAAATTTTAATAGTGTATTTGTAAATTTTACTCTTTTCAATTCTATGTGAATTTTCATCCAAAAAACAATTCTTGAAAACTACAAATATAAATAGATTCTTCAGTGTCTTCAAAAGACTCATATCCACTGAGAATATTAGAATGTAGCCTTATTTGATTATATGATATCTGTAGTTGTATTTGAAGGCCTCAAAACGAATTCATTTTGGATTTGAAGTAGGTAGTACATTAGTAGCTGGTATCATTATAAGAGAAAAAGCAAAGGAAAATTGGATACATGTTTGCAGACACAGAGAATAATGTGAAAATTGTGAGAAGACAATGTCTAGAGATTGGAGTCATGCTGCCACAACACTTTTCAAAAAACCAGAGGAATGTAAGAACGGTGCCTGCAACAATTGGTGGGAGCTTTGAGAAGGAAGAAACTTTACCAGTACTTTGATTCTGGATGGCTGGTATCTTGAATTGTGAGAAATAAGTTACTCTTACTTTAGTCTTTAAAACTAATGATAATGTATTATGGCAGTTCTAGGAAATCTACACACATATTAGGAACAGTTTTACTGCTAATTCATTTTAAAAATTCAGTTCCAAAACTTAGTTTATGATTCTCACAAATTTCTACTAAATCCTTACCCTCACCACAGGCAAAACAAAGGTAGCCATAAGTAAAGAGTAGTTCATATCACAAGGTCCCTTGTCCTTTCTTCCACTGTTGCTGTCACTGTTGCTGATATTTTGTGATTGTGAGGCTTAAGATACTACCCTACCGATACTATTCAATAGCAGCTCATAAGTGGTCTGCTAGAAATCTTTCAGGACTGAAACAAGAGCCAAGATTTAGAGAATGGACTGGCAGAGATTGGGGAGAATATACTCAAGCAATTTTTAAAAGGTGGAATAGGCAAGGTGTGTGGGAAGGAACTGACAAAACAGGGAGAATTCCTAGTCAGTTCTATGTCAAGAGTAGCGGATAAAAGAAAAACAACTACCTGTGAAAGGATATTTTGTTTTGTTTTTACTTTAAAGCAAGAATCAATCTTGATCAAATCAAAAATTTGCATTGTTGACATAAGTAACCTCTGTAGATCCCTGTGTTAAATGGTATGCAGAACTTGCAATTTGTGAAACACTGAACAGTGGACCTAGTGGGTGGAAGCTAGGCCATTGAAAGAGTGCTGGAAGGGGATATTGAGATCTTGTTCTTTTCCTGTCTCTATCTTTACCTCTATCCACAGAAGAAACAATTTCCTCTATCATAAATTCACAACATTAGGAACTATTTTGCATCAAACCATATAACAAAAAAGCCAACTGACCACAGACTGAAATCAAAACATACTTTTCAAGCTCCTTATAAGCTAATTCTCCAAAGTATTTTGTGAAACATGAAGCCAACATAGAAGAAGGGTATAAATGACACATGTTGACTTTATTAATCAGTGTTTGAAAACAGTCTCCTAAAATTAAAAAAAAAATCACCTTCTATACAAAATTAGATAAAAGAAGGTTGGCTGTGGTTTATAAAATTATCATTGGATTATATGGAAAAACATGTGTTTTAAGTATGATATTTTCTACATTTTTATATTGCAAATATATATAAAGCTTAAAATGTATATGATACTGTAGCTGGAGAGTTTCTCTCTGGGTCCTGCCAAGCCCCGGCAGTCCTGCAGCTCACTTATAAAGTAAACACACAGACACTTACATTATTTAAACTGTTTGGCCTAATGGTTCAAACTTCTTGCTATCTAGTTCTTCTATCTTAATTAACCCATTTCTATTATCTATACCTTGCCACATGGCTCATGACTTACGGGTACTTTACATTCTGCTCCTCATCTGCCTTAGCCCTCCACTTCCCATCATTCTCCTCCCTCTTTGTCCCGCATATACATTTTGCCTGGCTAGTGGCCAATCAGCGTTTTATTGATCAGTCAACCATCCACAGCATAATACAATGAGCTGCCACATTGATTTTTTTTCATATAGAAATAACAGTTTTGTAGTGAGTGGGACGTCCACCTGCGGGTCATAGCAGTCAAGGTGTTGGTCACCAGGGAGCGAAATAAAACTGGGTGATGTTGAGAAAGGCAAGTAGATTTTTTTTCAGAAGTGTGTCCAGTGCCACACTGTGGAAAAGGGAGGCAAGCATAAGACTGGAACAAATCTCCATGGTCTGTTTGGGAGGAAGACTGGTCAGGTGACTGGATTCTTGTACACAGATGCCAACAAGAACAAAGTCATCACCTGGGGAGAGGACACCCTGATGGAGTATTTGCAGAATCCCAAAGAGTACATCCCTGGAACAAAAATAATCTTCACTGGAATTAAGAAGGGAGAAAGGGCAGACCTAATAGTTTATCTTAAAAAGGCTACTAATGAGTAATTCCACTGCCTTATTTATTACAAAACAAATGTCTCATGGGTTATAATGTGTACTATAATTTAATTCATACATCAAAATTCAGATCATGAATGGCTAACAATGTTTTTGTTAGGACAGTCCTGATTTAAGTAAAAATGACTTATAGTAAAGTAGATATGATCTTTTTAAAAAATAACAATTCCAGTCACTATCACAGCTCTCACTTTCTCAAGATTGGATTGGACTTACTAATGTTATACTTTCCACAAAGATGGGGTATCACCTCAAAACTGTTGAATAGTTTTATATTTAAATTTATATAACTGGGAATATGGATATGTTTAAACACTGGGAAAATTCTATCAATCTCTCAGAAACAAGAAGACTCACCTGTGCTTCAGTTTGTATTCACTAGCCTGTTACAGGCAATGGAACGCCAGGAAGCAACTGTCTATTCTTGACTTGATGATGTCATTTTAATTAGAATTCCCTGTGAAAGGATGCTGCCTTTCACCATTGAAAGGCACTTACTGTGATTTATGTGTAATATCAAATAAAGAGTATTTAGCACTTCAAAAAAAAAAAGAAAGAAATAACGGTTTACTTCAAAGTCAGTTTTCTTTCCCTAGTATTGGCCTGTCATCCTCCCTCTCAACTGTATTTCTACTCTGACCATAATTTTGTCATCTACTTTCAATGCACATTTTTGCAATTAACTCTGTAATTTAAACCTTAAGAACCCCACCTGTCTCTTTTACATCACTACAGTGAAATTCTTGAGGAAAACTAACTTCATACAGCTTTATTTACAGTTTTGGGGACTGAAAGTTAAAGACAGAATAGTTTCACTATAGTGATCCCCAGTGAGGGTCTCACATTTGGAACAAGTATGGGAGAAGGTATTTCTCATATCTTGAAACAAAAAGCCAAACCGAGCCTCATGGGTCAGACGCAGTCTTCTAAACTAACGCACATGAAAAAGAACTTAGAGGTCTCATAAGAGCACCCTTAATTGCTTCAGAAAGCCTCACTCTCTGTTAACATGAGGACATTCCATTAGGCCTACCTGCTAAGGTTCTGTACCTTATACATACACTGGAAGCCTGGATATCAAGGGTCAGACAGAGGCTAGAAATCAAGTCTCAATTTTGTAGAACAAAGGAAATGGAAAACATTAAAAGAGGGGAAATAGATGAGTTCTCCATGAGTAAATTGGGGATGTGGGGCGGGCAATGGAGGATAGGTGATGGGGGATAAGAACATAATGGAATGGGATGGTTGATCTTGAACTAGGATGGAGTGGGAGAACAATAAAAGAGATACCATGATAGAGGGGGGCCATCATGGGGATAGAGAGAAACCAGATGCTAGGGAAATTCCCAGGAATCCACAAGGAAGATCCCAGTTTAGACTACTAACAATAGTGGAGAGGGTGCCTAAACTGGCTCACCCCAGTAATTAGATCAGTGAATACATTGTCATCATAGAGCCTTCATCCAGTAACTGATGGAAGCAGATGCAGAGATCCACAGCCAAGCACCACGCTGAGCTCCAGGAGTCCAGTCAAAGAGAGGGAAGAGGGATTCTATGAGCAAGGGGCATCAAGATCATTATGGGGAAACCTACAGAGACAACCAAACCAAACTAGTGGGAACTCATGAAATTTAGACCAATACCTGTAGAAGCACCATAGGACTGGACTAGCCTTCTGCATAAGCAAGACATTTCTGTAGCTTGATCTGCTTAAAGGTCCCCCTGGCAGTAGGATCAGGATCCATCCCTGGTGCATGAGCTGGGCTTTTATAGACCACTACCTATAGTGGGACACCTCTCACAGCCTTTAGGCAGGGGGAGGGGCTTGGACCAACATCTATTGAATGTACTAGGTTCTGCTGACTGCCCATGGGAGGCCTTACCTTCTTATGGGAGGGGAAGGGAGGGGTTGAGGAGGGAAGGCAAAAGGGGTGGGAGGAGGGAAGAGGGGTGTCTGTGATTGGTATGTAAAATGAATAAAGATTTTCCTGGGTGGTGGTGGTGCATGCTTTAATCCTTGCACTTGGGAGGCAGAGGCAGGTGGATCTCTGTCAGTTCGAGGCCAGCCTGGTCTATAGAGCATGTAGTGGGTAGCCATTCCAGCTTTGACCTGGAATCTCCAACCCCCATTGAGGCTTCAGTAACAGATATGCCTACAAGGCAGGGCTGAGAGAGGATGCTGAAAACCCAGGTTCCAGATGCATGCACGTTCTCTTTGGTCCCTGGACCCTGGACACTGGAGGTAGACCAAACAGAGTTCTCCAGAGAACACCACTGCTCTGAGCCATGCCTTTCCCAGACTCTGTAAAATATCCATTTACTTGTAAGTTACCCCACAAAATAAACCTCCCTTTTAACTATGTGGAGTGGCCATAATAAAGTGTCTCAAAAAATGAGGAAAAGAAGAAATGGAATGGATAGGTATAAGATATTATGGTAGATTATTGTATATACTAGTAAACAAATTTAGTAAAATAGCAACCTTAGATAATTTGCACTGTAATTTGCACTGTTATGGATCCTTATATGTTGATACAAATGTAAACTATTTTTATGTTCCTGTTTAAGATAATTTGTATATTGATACAAATACAGAACTATATTTGTTATAATGTAAATATATTTCTACCCTTATTTGAAATGTTTGTATATTTATATCTGTCATACTGTATGTATGTTCTACTTCTGTTTAGGATATTCTGTAGATTGATATATATTTAAGATTATTGTCATGTTGTGTATCGCACTATACATTCCTACCTCTGTTATAAATATC